AAAAAAAAAAAAAAAAAAGTAGAAATTCGAAATAATAAAACCTAAATTTGATGAAACACGATTTTTTCTTTTAACAACGTATAATTACCTTCCTTTACTCTTGCTTTCTTTTTTTTTCTTTTTTGACTAATGACAAAAAATTAACGCTTGTTTTTTTTCCGGGTCGTTTGGAGATTGCCGAAGAAAACAGTCTTTTTGTTATTGTTCATTTTCTTTAATTCTATAATTTTACTAAAAAGCAGTGAAATTTGAGTAAATGGAACAAAAGTAAAAGATTTTTTTTTGCTTTATTCTATATGCGCATCAATTTACGGCTTATGTATTAAAAAATAATGGTCAAATTATCTTCTTACACCTATTTTGTAAACAAGTAAAAGCTTGCAACGGGAAATTATCTGTTCAATTTTCCATATATTTGAAATGTTCATTTGTATGAGTGATAATGTGATTGCTTAATAATTAAAATTTAAGGTAATCCATGCTCGAACGCTGTCGGCAAAAAAGAGAATTCTCATGTTACAGGTTTAGCCATCTATGAAAATCAATCTAAACTCATTGAATGCTCTAATTTATTTCAGGTAATTATCTCTTTCTAAAACTTACATCGCTTCTTTTGTTATTTCATAAACCAGTTTTGCCAGTGAACAGAATTACTGATACATCTGTCTGTTGGTTTAGGGTCGGTGTCGTTGGCGAGACTTGACTGATATTAGTCGGAATGATACTGTCAACGAATCACTTGAACATTTTGTTGCCAACGACCCCTCTTTCACCACTGTGATCTTTGTTGGGACAGGTCCCTTCGAAAGTAAAATGTTTTTTTTGATTTTTTGCTTTTATTTTGATACATCTTCAAAATCTCTAAATTTTAGTAAAAAATTTGAACTTTTATAGAACCTGCCCTATATGTTGCTTCAACTTACGTGCCTGAAGACTATGGCGGTCCATTCCGTGATACTGTGCCCGCTGTTGCTTCACTTTCTCTTTCACGTGATGAAACTTTATTTGAAATATCTCACAAAGGAGTTGGTGGTGGGACTAAAATTATGTTGAGTAGTAGTTATCGAAATTTTTTCAAGTTAGTGCTCTTTACTGCAATTTGTCATTTTGAGTTTGAAAAGTGTTTGTTTTACCTCTTAGTCTTCTTGGATATCTAGAAGTTTAGTTTGGTGGAATTTTCAGGATTGAATACATTGGCGGTTTCCAAAGTGGCAAATTTGCTTACTTTGCTACAAGGCAACCGGAGAATATCACTTCAAATGTAATAGGTCCAACAATCTCTAAATTGATTAGAGTTTGTACCCAAGATCTTCATTTCTATAGTTATACAGAAGTGCCTTTAAAATGTTACAAAGATGATACTGTTTATAATTTGGTACAGGATGTTTATGTTGCAAAAGCTGGCTCGAGGCTTGCTCGATTGTTGTCTATCAGGTTTGGTTCAATAATTTGCATTATGATACTTTAGGTTCAATTGCATCGTCTGGCAGTAAGTTGTAAGATGTTTATAAAAATAAGTTTATCGCTTTTTTAGTCGAGATGACTCAGTGCTTTACGCAGTATTTACTAAGGAGAACCCGACAGGTGTCTATGAAAACAGGACTGCACTTTGCGTTTATTCGTTGAAAGACATCGAAGATGTTTTCTGGAATATAACGGCTGCGTGTTATTTAGGTGAAACTACTAAAGTAGGCTATATCGACTCTTCATATGGTTTGTTTTAGTGCTGGGGTATTTATGAAATGAGGGCTATCATTGTAGGGCTTGCCTTGGTTCAATTCTAAAGGTCCCTGCACAGAAACTAATTATACGGGTGGAGATTTTAATAAATTAATTTGCGGTAATGATGCGAACAGCTATATTGGTGGTAGTACACCAGTAGAGGCTGAGGCTGCACTTGTTGCCAAAAACATGTTCTTTACCTCTGTAACAGTGAACGTCTTTAACAATTATACAGTCGCGTTTATTGGAACTTCTGATGGTAAAATTTTGAAGGTAAGCTGCTTAGCCGTATCTATTGAATAGTTTCCATTGAGAAGTGTAGCATTTCTTGAGAAGCCATAATTTAGGCAATTATCGAGAAGGTGAGTTACATCGATCGCACTTTGGAAATTACCAATGGGCAGCCAATATTACAAGATTTGGAAGTGGATGCAGCTGGTGAATATCTCTTTGTCCTCACGTCAAATATGGTAAGAGAAAGGGTTCCAATTGCAAAACCCGAAATCCACTTCTTTTAGGATAACTTTTATAATTAACTTTTTCAAATTAATTTCGACTTTCAAACATTTTAGATGTCTTCAATTTGTTGGCTGCCATCGATCAGAATCGTTTTAACTAAACATTTTTTTTGCAATTGTAGGTAAGTAAAGTAAAGATTCGCCAATGTCGTCAAGTTAATGACTGTAAAAGTTGCCTTGATCAACGAGACCCTTACTGTGGATGGTGCGTGTTGGAAGGTCAGTGCAAACCAGAGAATGAGTGTGAGAAACTGATACCACCTGCGGACGATCAGTGGCTTTCAGCAGACAGTCAACGCTGCCCAATGTAATTCTTGTTTTTTAAAGAAGTTGATTTTTGAGCAAAGAAATCGTGTAATTATGTCTTACTGTCATTATTTTAGTGTAAGAGGAAATTCTGTTATTTAAGGATTCAGTCAGTTAAACCTGAAATGGTGCAGATTACTGGGAATTCGTTATTGGACGTTGAATTCAAAAATTTTCCAAGTTTAAATAGAAATCTGTTATGCATTTTCGAATTTGACGACAAAGTGAGGTCTAAACCTATTACGGTGAGAGTGAGCGAAATCAGAGACTTGAATTCTGACGATTCTGAGAATGACGTGATTTCTGAAACAAAGATACTGAGGTTCTTTTTGACCGTTCTGAACTTTCCAATTTTTGGTTGAGACCAGTCTATCGGGTCGAAACGGGAAAAAAGAAAATTATTTACTTTTTTTTCAGAAAACAGTTGAAGTAAATGACAGAGAAATAATGGGATATTATTGTGATCTTGCTTTATTTGTTTTATTTTAGATGCACTACACCAAATGTTGCTTTGCTTCCAAATATGGCGAATAGAACAAGTACATTATCACGACTTTCTATTGGAAGCGAATTCAGAAATCAGATACTGGGCTACATTAACCTAACTTTCTTTAACTGCCAACAATTCAAGTCATGTGCCGCTTGTGTAGATAGTTCCTTTCCTTGCAAATGGTGTTTAGAATCAAGCCAGTGTGTCAATGCGGAAACAAGTGATTCTAGCTGTAGGGGTGAGAAAATAATCAGAGGGAAAATGGTAAGTGCGTGTTTTTTTCTATATAATGATTTTGAAAGGTTAAAACTTACTCAACACTGTATTCTTTTTTTTCTCAGCGTGGCGGTTCTGGTAGGCAAGGGTCTCAGTTTTGTCCGCAGTTTAGTACATCTGAAGATTTCTACATACCATCAGGGAAATCAAGACAGATTACAGTGGAAGTTGCAAATATTATGGATTTTATGCAGCATTTTAAGTGTCAGTTCATAATTGAACATTCTGAGAAGGTTATTTTGGCTGAAAGAAATGACAACAAGATCAGGTTAATTCTTTATTATGAACATTAATTGCAGCAAATTATATTAGGAGCGTTTAAAATTTTGGCTTCTTAATTTTATAACGAAAATCGCGTAACTTTTAGCTGTTTATCGTCTGTTTTTTACAGGTGTGAAGAAATAGAATTTTCTTACAATAGTCCTAGTAACAGAAATGGAACAACCGAAGCGATGTTTTCTATACTGTGGTCACCACCACAAAATAACGGTGGCTATGCTCTCGAAAATCTTGGTGGTACACGGATAGTGTTGTACAAGTGTGAAGAAATGGCCACGAATTGTGGCTTGTGCTTAGCACTCGATTCAAAGTTCAATTGTGGATGGTGTTCGCACAGGAACAAGTGCTCGCTTCTTGAAAATTGCCCCTCCTCAGGAAATTCGCTCTGGTTAAATGGGTAATTGTTTATCTGTTGAAACTGCAGAAACGTTGATTCGCTACTCGTATTGGTATTTTTTATTTGAATATTAATTAAATCGTAAAAGACTTTATTACGAAAGGTTTACAGGACTCAGTTGTGTTCTAATCCGGTTATTAGCGACTTCTTTCCTAAGAAAGGCCCTGTTACTGGCGGAACTAGGGTATAGGTTTTTGTACGAGTCAATTGCTTTGCTACTTTTATATCATGTAGGAAAACCATCAATTTTTTCAACTGTTTCAGATTACTATCGAAGGGATCAACCTGGGTCAAAGTTATGCTCATGTTTTCAATAAAGTTTCTATCGGTGACGTAGACTGTGACGTGGATGAAGAGCTGTACTCCGTTTCAACTCGCATTGTCTGTGTTACAAAAAAGAGCTATACTGGAGTCGTGGCCTACCCGATAACTATTAAACTGAAAGATGAGCCTCGATACAAGGCCATTTCATCTGAAAATTTTGCATTTGTCAAACCTGTTGTGAATGGTATTGACCCATCCAAAGGTAGAAAACTCAGATTTATAGAGTTTTTAAACCAAAGAATGAAACTGTTTTGAAATATATCTACAGTACGTACTCTGCCTTACTCTTCAGGGCCGCAACTGGGAGGAACTGTTGTTAAGTTATTTGGTGAAAACCTAGACGCTGGGTCTACAATTAAAGTCGCTTTTGGGAATATACCGTGCGAAGTTCTTGAAAGGTCGCATAACGTCACACTTTGCAGAACAGCATCGTCGCCTTCAGATACTAGAGGAGACCTAAACGTCACATTTGACAATTCTTATGAAGTTGAAAGTTTCCCTCGTATTGTTTTCAAATTTGAGTATGTTTTTTTTTCTTGTTGTTGTTAGTCGGTCTTTTAAATTAAGTTTTTTAGAGTTTAAGAGTGAAATTAATTACGTTCAGGAAAAATCCGAATGTTTCAAGAACAGAGTTCACCCGAAGTATCGCTTCTGGTGGAATATTGGTGGATGTTCGTGGGATAGGCTTCAGATCACTACAGAAGTCATTTATAGTTATGTTTGACGACAACAGGGTTTTAAAAGGTGGTCAATGCAGGGTTATTCGCGACGATCTTATGCAGTGTTTGACTCCAGCTCTCAATATTTCACGCAACAGGCAATAAATTGTTATTTTTGGCCGCTACGCTTTGTTTCCACAAATGTTTTATTGAAGTTTTCTTTTTTGTTTCTTTTTTTTTGCAGGAGGGCTCAACCAACCATTGACAATCCTTTAGAGCTAGCATACGGTTTTGAGTTTAACGGATTTTTATGGTAAGTTGCAACATAAAATTCCTCGAGGTTTTAAAAAATTTGTTTTTCTAGCACTACAGTTTGACTTGTAGGAACATCTCTCGGACTGGCCGATTTGGTCATTTCGATATTTATCCAGACCCTGTTGTCGAGAAATTCCGAGACATTCGTTACTATAGGCCTGATGATTACTTGACGATCAATGGCGAATACTTTGATGCAGCTGCTAGGGAGCGTGATATAGTAGTGACAGTAGGAGGTGAAGTATGCAATATCACCGTATTAGGAGATCGCGCACTCACCTGTAGACCTCCACTGAAAAAGCCGAGGTCTCTACGTGATGAGGATCCGGAAGTTATCGTTCGTATTGGTGAAATAAAGTTAGCATTTGGGTATTCTTAGCTTTACTGTTTTCTTTTTTGCATTTCAAGTCAAACTCTCCTTCTTCTTTGTCTCGCAGTATATTTTTTATTTGCTTTTGTTAGTATTTCAGCTTTGGTTTTTTCAGAACAAAAGTTGGTCACCTATCGTATAATCAGAAAAATCTTGATTTCTCGCGCCCAGTAATGATTGCTGTACTTACGGTTATAGCTCTAGTTGTGTTGGCGTTTATAGTTTTGATAATTTTTTATCGGTAATTGTTTTTTGCTTTGTGGTATTGTTTTTTCTTCTGGAATTTCCTCTAAATCAAATGATGTTACTGTTTTTAGCCGTAAAAGTACATCACATATGCGCGAAGCAAAGAACCTGAGAGACCAAATGGACCAGATTGAAATGAGAGTAGCTACGGAGTGTAAAGATGCTTTTGCAGAGTTACAGACTTCTATGAATGCAATCACTGTGGATGGAACACCTTTTATTCCTTTCCTTCCATACAAAGAATATATTGTCCAGGTAACTCCAGTTGTCGCTGCCTTTTAAAAACTGCTTTTGTCGATGAATAAAATTGCTGTGGCTTCTGCTATAATTGGTAAATGAGTCGTTTTTTCAGGTTTTGTTTTCTAGTAGAGGTTCAGATAGTCATCTTTTGAAAGAGTTGGAAGTTGAAACACACAGAGCACGTTCAATTGAGACGGGTTTAGTGGCTTTCAACAAGCTCATTATGAATAAACATTTTTTGCTGACTGCTGTTCGCACCATGGAGGAGAATATCTATTTTCACACCAAGGAACGGGTTTATGTTGGTTCGCTCCTTATGGTCATATTGCTGGTTAGTTATTTTTCTTTGTCTGAACTGTTTGAGATCATTACTGATTTGATTGAGAAAAGTCGTCTATTGTCTTTTATTTGCTTTAATAACTAGAGCCTGAATTCTTTTTTTCACAGATTTTTTTCTGTTAATCTAAAGGGTTTAGGAAAAGATGGAATATTGTACAGATATATTAAAACAGTTGCTGAAAGAACTCATCTCTCGGACTGTTGATAAAAATCTTCATCCAAAAATTCTGTTCAGGAGGTCAGATAGTGTTGCTGAGCGTATGCTTTCTGTGTGGTACGCTTTGCTTATGTATGATTATTTAAAGGTGAGTTCTTTGATTTCTTAATAAAAATTAAATTTTTGATTAAAAATTTATAGGTTTTTTCCACTTTCAATTTTCTCAGGTTTTACATTGAGCGGTTAAATAACTACATTAAAAAAATGTTAGTTATTTGTTTTAAAGCGAGTGTTTTGTAGAAATGTGCGGGACGGAAAATGTATGAACTTTATTGGGCTATTAAAGAGCAGATGGAGAAAGGTCCTCAGGATGCTATAACACTAGAATCACGTTATTCGCTCTCTGAAGAAAAATTGCTTCGTGCAAGATTCGACTTTCAGGAGCTTAATATTATTTTGCTTACTGATAACCGCGGTGGAGGGCAGAGTGAAATGCCGGTTAAAGTTTTGGACTGCGATACCATTACACAGGTAACTACTGATTGAATGTTCATTGCTAAAAAAGTTTCTACTGTAGGTTCTCTTGTTTTCTGATACAAACTGCAATAATTTAGGTGAAAGAGAAATGTTTGGATGCAAAGTATAGAAGAGTTCCCTATTCTAAACGGCCGTCTGCAAACCAACTAGACTTGGAGTTGCGCTCGATTCAACCATTGATACTGCAAGATATTGATAGCACTTCAAAAATAGAACCTGGAGGGTGGAAGAAAATGAATACTCTTGCACATTATCAGGTAAGAAAATTTGTAGCGTGGAAATGATTGAAGATTTTAAATAGATTACAATAAAACTTTTACAAGAACTCATTTTTTTTTCATGCAGTCAAAGTGACTAAGGCAGTGAAATAGTAGATATAAAAGAAGAAGAGATAAGGAAAGTCGTAAAATAACTTCATAAATATGCTTAGGACATTTGTAAAACTTCCTGGTTTCAAGGCTTTAATTTTACTTTTGGTTGACTTTATTTCTTTTATTAGATTATAAGCGGTGCGAAGTTTGCTTTGCTATCTCGACAGAATTCAAATTACGAAATGTCGTTTTCAATCGAAAGATCTACATTCTCTTTATCTAAGCAAAGTCCAACTCTGCCTCGTCCTTTCGGAACAAATTCGAGTACGCAAAGTCGAGGTATGCTTTTAGGTTAGTATGTAAACTGGGCTTTTAATTGCGATGTATAAAAAAATTGGCATAGTCTCGACACGCATATAGTGTTATTTTTTTGCATTCTTTATTAAAGTTGCTGAATTTTAGCTAGTGACTCTAACTTCAAGCATTACCATCTTGTGAAGCCCTCCGAACTTGGTCCATCTAATCAGCAAGACAAAATGGTTACTGAAATTTATCTCACAAGGTTTTAATTTTGATTATATAAAACCACGGTATTATAATTTAAATCATATAAAACTATAGTGTTGTAATCCAATCATTTTTCTTTTGCTAAATTCTTTTTTCCTAAATCTCATTAGAGTCCTCATTGCAGACTGCTAACTATGAAAGGCACTTTACAAAAGTTTATACAAGATCTATTGTATGTTATCTTTCCAAATGTCACTGTTGAAACTGCATCAGCCGTTCCTCCTTGTGTCAAATACATGTTTGATTTCCTCGATGATCAGGTTTTTCTCGCGATTTATATTTTGTATACCTCTAGATTATTTTATTGTTCTTCCGCCTCATTTACTCAAATATTTCCTAAATATACTATTTTAGGCAAAGGAGCATGGCTTTGACGACGAAAAAATTGTTCATGCATGGAAGAGTAATTCTCTGCCTCTTCGGTTTTGGGTGAACTTGATTAAAAACCCCAATTTTGTGTTCGACATCCAGTCCCCTAATAAGGTTTTTTTAATCTTCATTTTTTTTAGCAACTAGTTTTGTGTCTTGTTTCTGCACTAACATCTCTTTTTTTAGGTAGAGGGTTGCTTATCAGTAGTCGCTCAAACGTTAATGGATGCATGTTCCACTCAAGACCATCAGTTGACTAAAGATTCTCCAAGCAGCAAATTACTATTTGCGAGGGAAATTCATCAATATAGGAAACGGGTTGACAAGTTAGTGCTGAAGATGTGCAATTTATTAATTTGAACAATTAGCACAGTCCTGAGTTAGATTTAGCGCTGAATGAACATAATTAGATGGGATTTATTTTAGTTATTATGATAAGATAAGCAGTCTGCCAGTAATCACCGACCAGGAGATGAACGCACTACTTGCAGAAGAGTCTCGTGCTAATACACGCAACAAATTTTGTTTATTTACCGCTTTAAATGAACTTTACAGGTAAATCAAAAGTTTAGTAATATTTTGAAAACTGACTATTTTAACTGCAAGCTTGTCTTGATATTACCGAGAATATAAGTGGTCTATAGGAAATTACTGCAGCTAACCGGTTAGTTTTTGTAGGCAGTTCAAACAAAACGAAAACATGATTTTGGAAGCGTTGGAAAATAATCAGTTTGCTGTGTCACAGAATCTTCCACAGAAGTTTAAAGAAATGTTGTTTTTTATGGAATGTACAGATGATCAGTTGTCCAACAGCGTTAAACCTCCAGCCTTTAATGGCATTCCAAATTTTTACCATCAGCAACCAAAAGAAGACCTAGTTTAAGTTATATTTGTATGTATCAAAAAGCTTCTGCTGTTTTATTTATTCGTATAAAGTTGAGTAGAAGGGCAAAAAAATTAAGAGAAGAAAAAGCTGAGAATTGTAAAGTGTTTAAAGGAGATAACCGGGGATAAAAGTGAATTTTGAGGAAAAAAATGTAGTCTTGAGACTTTCGAACCAATCATACTTTTTTCAATAAATTATCAGTTATTTAGTTTGTGTATAGTCAAAAGTACATTTTTTTAACCGTTGATTTGTGAATTCTTTTTGTTTGTTAGTAATTGTTATCCTTTTTGTATCTGATTGGTTTTCTTCACTTTGTGCTGCCATTTGTTTAACATTGTTTTTATGCCACCTTAAATGGTCATGTAGTTGACTTTTAATTGTCCTTGTTAATATGGTTTCCTTCATGTGTTTCTCTTGTTGTGTTTTTTTTTTCACTTTTGGTATTTTATGAGAAATCTATGAATTTGTTCTTTTCTCTTCCTCTTCAGATTCTTGAATTGTTCGTGCGGGTTTCAAAACTGTGCCTTTTTTAAATAAAGAAAGCAGTTTTGACTTTCATTTGTAACTTCACGATGACTGGATCCATAGTGTCGTCTCTTTAAAAATACGTTCACTTGTGAATATGTTAGGAAAAAGTTTATTTTTGAACACTTCTGAACTGTTCTGTTGTGTTGTAAAATGAGTTGATTAATATAAGACTTGTTTGGATCCAGAATTTTTTGTATTTCTGTAATTGTCGCTTCTTGTTTTGGGTTTTGTGTGAAAATTTTTGTTGTCTAGACTTCTAAATTGCGGTATGAACCGTAAGGTTCTATTACTTCAAATCATGGTGGATAAAATTGGGAATAGAAGTATACGATTTTAGCGTATATAACATGAAGATATTTTGTATTAATTAAGCACATAAATGGTTCATACCGTTACTATATGAATATGATGAGTGGTGATTGTATAGAGTAAAAAACAACATATTTGAGCTAAATAAAGCTGAAAAGTCTTTGAATGTGCAATTTTCTGTTTAGTGAGATTTGCTTTGCTACAAATGCGAGAGTTGCCACTGTCGTTATCAGTGAAGAGGAGGGGAAGTGGTGGTTTCTGAAGGTTTTTATTATCTGTTTCAAGGTGTGGTCGGTTGGAATTGACAAAGACTTGCAGCTTGTCGCAACTTTGTTCTACTTATTTCAGCTTTCGGTTTCTACACTCAAGACTAGTAGCTCACTAAACTAGCGAAGGAGCTGAAAACTTAGGAGGGGGGAAGTAATAACACAAGTTCAGAAGGCTTACGCAAAGCTAAGATCGGTATAGGATTGCTACTTATTGTGAAGTAAAAATACCGTATATCTCAGGAAGACTGAGGAGGAAAAGTGTTCTGCGACAGGTAACTTCCACAATTATATATCTAACACTTCTACGGTCGGCTAGAGTAAATTAATGTCATCTTGATTCTTCATCTTAATGCAGCTGTTTTGAAAAGGCAGAATTGCTAAAGCAGTAAAACTTGAAGGGAATAATAAGCTGCTCTTACTCATTGGATCGGAACATCCAAAGCCGCGCAGCTGGAAAACTAATATTGGTCGATGGACGAGAAAGCAGATGTCTAGTAATATTTGTATCGGCAGAAGAGTACACCTATTTCTGTCTACTATTAAAAAAGTTGGAACTGACTTGCATAAACCGAGACAGATAGTCTTGAATTTGAAATTAAAGGCTTATAAATTGTTTGTCATTACCGTTGCAAACGTTCAATACTTAGTTTAATCTCGTGACAGTTTGTTCCTTAATTTTGCTACTTTTTGCAACACGATCTTGAACTCACAGAGTTTGTTCTTCTAATGAGCTTTTATTGCAAATTTGCTTTTCCAAATTTAGTCTGTTCTGAGGGATGGAGAGACGATTTAAAATTTTGTGCAGACTTCTAACAATTTCTAGGAACTTGAGATTACAGAATAGAGTAAAAATGACGGTCTTTAGGGAGTGTCTTTCAGAACGATTAATTAAACTAAACTTTTTAGATTTGGCAACGATGCAGTGCATCAATGAAAGAAGGTAAAGATGTTCGGATTTTTAGGTTTAGTATCGCTTCAAAGCACAAAAAAAAAGGAATAAAGAAATTTAAGAATGTGAAAAAAATTGAAAATTTTTGGTTGCAGATGAATAGTTACAGTAATTATACTTACAGTAATTACGTGTTTCACAAGATTATACTGGTATCCAGCAGTTTATGCGCTAATCCTGTATATTGTTAAGTATTTAAATGGTTTCAAAATATTTGCGGATAAAGTGTTAAAATTTTCAAGTAGCTATCTAAAGAGTAAACCGGTCTTGCTTTATAAAATTTTTCAATAATTTAGTAATTAAAAATAAATTATTGCAACGAACACGACAGGAGAAGTCGTTCCACCCAAAATTTTTTTACTTTTCTTTTTAGATATTGCAGTTTGTTTTGAAGTAGCTTGATTAAAGTGGATATAACAGATTAATACAGAAGATGAAACAATCAGTAGTGTTTAATGGCAAAAATAATAAAGAATTAGGCTTTCAAAAAAGGTTTTCTGTTAATTCACTGAAATACTTAGATGTTTATTTACTAGTTTTTGATGTCATTTTAAAATTTATATTTGTCATATATCTTTATTGTTTTTAATAAAAAAATAAAATAGAATAGCTTTAAACGAAGAAGTGTAAGAGTTGTTGAAAAATTGCTCTATAAGTAAACATGATTATTTGCAAAAAAAAAAAATTTTTTTTTTGATATGTTGGTTAATTTAGATTTGGATATAAATTTGTAAAATGAGCCACTTTTTTAATGAGTGTTGACTCTGTATCAGCAAACCATTATAAGATATCACCAGAAACACTTTTCCAATTATCATATTATATGATCGGTTGACGTCACGGTTAATAAAAAAAACCATTGTCAAGCTATCAACATTTGTTCCTTCTGGACGAAATGCCACCATCAACAGCAACGAAGTTTGATCTACGACAACAGCAGATTGGTGAGCTATTTGTTCAATAAAGTGCTAAAAAATTCTGTTAGTTCTAATCGTCGAACTATCACATTTAATAGACTGTGCACTAAAAGTGTAAACTGTAAGCAGTTAGGAAAAAAATTTGTTGTGCAAATAATTTTGAAAACAAAAGATGGTCAACAGCACAGAGAATAGTTTTCATCTTTTTGTTTATTCATTAATATCAACGCAAAAAAAAAAAAAAAAAAGGTAAAAGCCGGGACGAGTCAATAAGGTAAAATATGTTTGTTGATACCTAATCAATTTTACGTCTCCTAATAGGTTTTTAAATTTTGTTTTAATTTTCAAACACTTTATGTGTTTTTTGAATGCAACTTATCAACCAGTAATTTATCTTTGCAGATCTGTTACAATTTAGTTCATCTGACTAGGCATAAACTAAAGAACTTTAAATTTTCAAATAATAAATTTGACCTTTATATGCTATAATTTTTTATTTATTCTTCTATCGTCTATTCTTCGCTCACATTTTACGTCATTAAAACTTATAAAATTACTATCTTCAACTGAAAAAAAAGAGCACTAAAAGTTAAATTTTTGATATGGTACCAGGATTAATAACCGTGTAACATTATTTTGATTTAGTGTAACAGAAATGATGACAGAATTGATAATGTTTTGATGATTAATAACTCTGCTAAAGCTCGTGCTTAATTTCCAGTTTCTTCTATTCAAAGCTGCTCTATTACAGTCATATTGCAGATACTACAAAGTTTGTTGATGATTCAGTTATAGGAATTGCATAAAACCAATGATGCTAGAATATGGAAAGGAACAAAACGTAACAACAGAAGACAACGATTTTCAATGGCTATATCGATGTTAAGTATACTGTGCTAATTATCCACCACTAACAGCGGCAGTAGAAAATTTGGTCTAAAAAAAAACAAAATGTTCTTGATTATTGGTGACACCAACAGTATACACCCAACTTAACGATGGTAACTTAATAGTGTTACAATTTTTTTTTTCTTTTGAAAACAACTATATTTAATAACAAATTTTATATAATTTTTTTGTATATAGGAATTTTCTTCGTCTTACAATTACAACCAAGTACTCAATAGTCTCCAAGAGCAGAAAATATACCTGTTTATTCTGTCGATTATAAGGTAGCAGAGTGTTGTTTGCTGTCAAATAGCATGAAACAGTCTGAAGTTTTGAGTTTCTGAATAAACAACTCTTTAAATTATTGAAGTTTTGCCTATCACAAGAAACAAAAAAAATTTTTTAAAGCTTTTTTTAAACCCATTTTTTATAAACAAAACTTGGATATTTACTGATGTTCAAGGATAGATTCAGCTTTAATTATACAGATCGACAAATTGGTTGTTGTTGTTACACAGATGTAATATCGTGTGTAATTTTCAGACCACAACAGCAGCGCCATCTAAGTATTTTCATAAATCATTTCTTCTTTTTAGTTGAGTAAAATATGTAAAAGCTAAATGTCTTATAATTCATAACAAAAATAAATATAGTAAAAGACAAAAAAGAAAAAAAAAAAGAACGAAAAAACAGTTTAGCTGAGGATAGCTGATGACTTCAAGAAAAAAAAATAAT